GTGTAAATGTATGCTATGTCTTCTAATGATGCTGCCTAAGGGAAGCATGTATAATGTAAACAGAATTGGTCCTAGCACTGAACCCTGTGGAACTCCATGATTAACCTCAGTGTGTGAAGAGGACTCTCCATTTACATGCACAAACTGGAGCCTGTTAGATACAAACCACTGAGTGCAGTACCTGTAATACCTACAGCATGTTCTAACGACGGATTTATCATCTCAACCTCCTTAAAGCATGGAGAGAGGCTGAAACCGCTTCTCTGGTGAGTCTGGTGAAGGAGAGAGATGAGTTGAGCAAATTGTTCAGAGGGAATAAACCGAAATTATAAGACAAATTTATTTGTCACATACACAGTACAACATATATATATATAAATGCTTATGTCCTGACCTGTGGACAGGCTGCAGACATAGTCACACCACTCCAGGTCTGGTTTTTAGCATGGGGGGCCTAGTCAGGACCCTTACTAGATACCGGGTGGGAATCAAATTTGCGACCCCCCACTCCTGAGGTGTGGAGTCTTACCATTACACTATCCAGCTGCTGGGAGTGAGAGAAGAGTCGCACAGCGCCTGGTGTAGCCCCATTGTTCTTGTGGTGAAGAAAGATTGGTCTATATGGTTCTGTGTCGACTATCACGAGGTGAATGAAGTGTCACGCTTTGATGCTTATCCCATGCTCCGGGTCGACGAGTATTGGACCGGTTAGGCACGGCCCGTTTTTTCACACCACTGGATTTAACCAAGGGCTACTGGCAGATTCCCGAGTCCAAGGAAAAAATGGCCTTCTCCATTGCGTACGGTTTGTACCAGTTCATTATGCTTCCATTTGGCTTGTTTGGAGCCCCGACCACCTTTCAGTGCCTCATGGACCGGGTGCTGTGTCTGCACCCTGCATATGTTGCCGCCTACCTGGATGACGTGATCATCAATAGTGACACCTGGGCGGAGCATGTGCAGGGGGTGGACGTGGTCCTGGAGTCCCTGAGGCAGGCGGGGCTCACGGCCAACCCGAAGAAGTGTGCGGTTGGATGGAGGGAGGGACAGTATCTGGGGTACCACTCGGGGGGCCGGCATGCGCATCCACAGGTGGAGAAGACGGCAGCTATTGCATCCTGCCCGCACCCCATGACTAAAAATGAGGTGAGACGGTTCCTTGGGCTGCCGGGTTACTACCACCGTTTCATGCCCGGGTTTGACTGATCCGGGTTTGATCAGCCCCTTGACTGATCTCACCCGCAAGGTGGTCCAGATCTGGTCCAGTGGGCGGAGCCGTGCCAGGCAGTGTTTGTGCAGGTAAAAAGAGCTCTCTGTAGGGAACCGCTGCTCCACACTCCTACCTTTTCCCTCCCTTTTGTTCTGCAGACTGACGCCTCAAACAGAGGGCTGGGGGCCGTTTTGTCCCAGCATGTAAGGGGGGTAGACCGGCCCGTGCTTTACATCAGCCAGAAGATGACGGAGCATGAAAGGTGGTACAGCACTGTAGAAAAGGAGTGCCTGGCTATCCGGTGGGCGGTCAACTCCCTTCGCTATTACCTCCTGGGGCGCTCATTCACCCTGTGCTCGGACCACCAAGCTGGTGGCATTTGGACTGATGACGGTCTTTTTCCCCCTTTTTAGTGAGGCGTGAGACGAGCGAAGTTGGTTGGAAAAGCTGAGACCGGCGCTGACCAGACTGTTGGTTGTTGCACAAAAGAACCATAAATAAATGTGACATCTGTGAGCATAAAACAGTTTGTGTGTGGAGTGTATTCTACAATCACACAAAATTGTCACATTATATTAAGCAGAAGCTAACAGCTCAGCTCGGTAGAGTGGGCAATCACAATGAAGTGGTTCATTTTAATTTGTACATTCAAGCTGCTCTTCATATTTTTGGCCACTAGGTGGCACCAAAGATGAGAGCATTGAAAGCTTTGAGTAATGAACCATTTTTAATACAAGCGTCAATGCTTCATTTGACCATCACTACAACAAACACTCTCTCAGAACTCTGCTGGGCCATCCTAGCCACAGGTAGAGACACATTAGAAATCTTCAGCAAGTAAACTGAAACAGAGGCAAGGTAAGGACTACCATGGTTAGACAATACTCAGACAAAGTTTGTACACCACTAAGGAAAAACAAGAGTTTTGCGGTTGTTATGTCCTGCTGTTCAATGAAGCATGTCCTTCCATCTTGACCCTTTCAAGAGTCTAACCCAGAAAATCACAACCGGCGACAAGGATTTTAAAGATTTCCACAGCGTGAAAGAGGCTGTAGAGGGACTGTGTTGCTGTTATGCTGATGATATTCAAATCTACCTTCACCTGACTGGGGATGCTTTATCCTCACCACATCCTCTGTTTGACTGTCTGAGTGATGTCAAGGACTGGTTATCACGTAACTTTCTTACTTTAAATGGAAAGAAGACAGAAATTATTGTTTTTGACCGAAATATGCCTCTGGGACAATTGACTG